ACAAGGCTTTTCATGTGACAGTGAATGACTGCACATGGGCAAATTAGTCTGGCCCTATTGCTGAATGAGAGCTAGTTTCTATGTAAAAAAAAGCAACCAAGCAAACAAACAAACAGAAAAACCTCTAATGAGCAAGACAAAAACTTTTTTAAAAAGCTAAAAATCAGAAATTCTAGAAGTAATTTTTAACCTTTTTAATAAGTAGTGATATCTACAAATTCAGAAAAGGTTCAAAAGCTACAGTCTCTCTCTGATCTTGCTGCAAACCTTCAGACTTTTTATTTTTTATTTTATTTTGGAGGACTGGTTGTGTGTACTCCGAATTTACACATTTGTGGCCTGAGGAACTCATTCAATATGTAAGTCTCATGCAATCAACTTTCTGCTTAGTGGCATAGCAGAATAGAGACAAGTCTATTAATGAAGAGATATAGCTCTGTAATCACATTCAGTCAGTTTGTATCACACTTGTATAATAGTATTTAGTGCAATGATAATACCCAGCCTTTTCCAAATCTACATCCACTGAATTCTAAGTAGAGGAAAATTGCACGTTGTGTCTTTGCAATTGTATAGATGTAAGACATGATGACTTGCCAAAGACGTCACAACATACCACTCAGTGAGAAGATTGGAATTTACTAGTTCCCAGTTTGCAGTTATATTTCAGAAAACAATATTTTATTTTATTTTAAAACTTGGCCTAACCCACTATGTGAAAGATATAATAAGACAGTTACAATCTGGTAAAAGGGTACAAGTTATCAAGATACAAAAATAGTCATGTGAACCAGTGGGCAGCATAGCAGCAAGTGATTATTTGTGTAGGCAAGGAAGGACTCTAGAGGAATCCCTGCAGATCACCTTGCTCTAAGGGAAGATTTACAGGTCCCACATGATCAAGTATCATGGTTGAAAGCTGTATGTACAGTTATTTTTCTTCTATTTCCTTTTTAGTCATGTTTATAACAAGGCTTTGAGAAACTGCCTTAGGATGTGAAACTTCCTTGAAAACACGAACATATTCTACCTACCTACCTGCCTGCTGGGCTTGGCAGATAACACTGGCAATCTAAGTGGGTCATTGACTTTGTTAGAAGTATTCGCTTCTCCATCAGACCTAGGAATTTAGTAATTTTTGCATCCCTCCACCTGGAAGGCTGAAGATACTTAATCAGTACTTTTTCCTCTGAAATGAATGAAAAGAATCTTATTTGTGTGTGAGAGATTTTGATTCCATCTGCCTTGGCCATTTACAATTTCATTTTGAAGAGTCAATATTACAAATACATGGCATGCTTGTAAGTGTGTAGGTATCGCCTATGCATAAGTGTTATAATTGCTTTACAATGTACAATAAAAAGAAGTCCCATATTTAAGCACACAACATTTCCACTCTCTCAGCCCTCAGCATTTCTAGATGTTGTTCATGGCTCTGAATTCACTCTTTTAACATATCTTTAAGAATTCATTTAGAAAGAGGTTGAGGAAGGTGTCTGATAATTATCACTGCTTCTCACAAAATCGTTGCATTTCCCATGAAGAATCTGTTGAATCTGAAGTTGGAACTGGCGTCATCACAGTGTATGATAACTCGATGAGTAAGAGAGCAATTCAAACTGCCCATACCAGATGACATTTCACCAACCACAAAATATTCTCTTTTTGCTAATTACAACTAGCAGGTTCTTAGCAAGCCAGTGTTTTTAATTAGAGCTTATACAATAAGAATTTGTTTTGATTAAAAAAAAAAAAAAAAAAAAGTTTGGAAGTTAGGCAGTGCCCTCTCCTGGACAGAGGTTCCCAAAGAAGTTTACAAAGTGTCCCAGATGTTGCCTATTAGCAAAAATGGGCACAAACCAGCATGTTAATCTGCTGTCTGCATTTGTTTGCTGCAAGAAAGTACATGTTGTACTTCCTCACACTTCAGTCTACTCAAAAGGAGTCTGTGCAACAAAAACTATTTCTAGTTAAAATAGCAAAGACCTTTGGGTTAATTTAATTTGAACTCATCAAGCTAGAGTTGACAGTGCAAATTTATCACAAGAAACAGCAGTAATATTTAGCGATGTTTATTCCAGTTTTTACAAAAATCAACTCAAATTTTCAGAAATAAGGATGATGGAGAAATACTTAATTGAAGCTCACTTTTTAGGTGTCATTTTACATGTCTTTATGGTTCTCTTTCAAGGTCAAAGCAATGGAGCTATGCTGAAAAGCTCCAAAGTGTCTTTTCCTATTTATCCTTTCTTGACTGTTTTAATAAATGAATGAATTTAAGTTTCATCTAACGACTCCAATCTCATGACTCTTGACTTCAGTCTGTTAAAATTAAATAAATAATAACAAACTTAACAAAGATCCAGATTAAGCAGAACATTCTTAAGATTTTACAGCATCTCACCACAAAGATGATAGATATGGATTTCCCCAGTAGTTCATTTAAAACTTGCATTTAAATCCCTTCAGAGGTGAACTATAAAACTGTAATAATCCAGCATTTACAGGAAAATTTAAATTAATGGCATAAAAAGCATACCCACTCAATACCCACTTAGTCATACCCACTCAATGAGCATTTACAGTTCTCAGCACATTCCTATGATTTTTTCAGCATGGAAAACACAGAGGAAAATAGTTGCTTGGTGTAAATTGTAAATGATACCTACAAAACAGCTGACAGGTTGTTTTGTACGCTAGCTTAAACACAAAACAAAATAGCTATTGTATTTATTTACTTTAATTTTAACCACTTTCTAAAAATCTGCAGACTTCTCAAAACAGACTGCCCATATAGAACAGTCAAACTTACATTCTAAACTGTTTTTCTTCTGACTGTTCACTTCAAAGGTGTGCTTCTACTGAGAAATGAAGCCTTAGCATACTCGCACTCATGTGGGAATGGCCCTGGAGTAGGGATCAAGATCTGCATATAATATTGCTCTTCAGGAAATCTTTATCTATTAAATACATGCACCCACAGCTGTAAGCATCTCTGCTCCAGCAAGTAAGCTCCACTGCCTTCTGCTAAGAGCTGTAAGCTCAAGAGTACAGACCTCCTCATTAATGGTCACAGCTGGTCATTAGATGATCACTGAATCTTTCTTGATGACCTACTAATGAACTTCCCACTGGCTTTGTGTGAAGATTGGTCAAGGTAGACTGTATAGGTAATTTATACCTGAACACCTGGCACGTTAATGGCCTTTTCTCAGCAACTGTAATTTACACAGTGCTATTAAGAGGCAGTACATCCTTCCCAATCTATTTCTCAGGTGAAATATTTCATGTTGAAAGGAAACTTTGGATTTTGTGTTTAAAAAGGTGTTCAAATATTTTATTTAGGGGGAAAAGTTCTTTAAGAATTTAAGAAAGTCTATTATCTTACAGAGGTTGTTTTGTTGTTTTTATTGTTTTGTTGTTTTGTTGTTTTGGTTTGGTTTGGTTTTTTTACATTTCTCCCCTCAATATATATATATGCTTTTTAAGAGAAAGAAAAAAAAAAAAAAATGCAACATATGTATGTTAGTATTTGCCTGTTAGTCTTAGAGGCCTCCACAGTGTATAAAGCAGCTTAGTGGGTGCCTGTTAGCTGCAAGAGCCCAAAGAGATTTGATGGTTCAGAACCCATGGTGCCTAATCTCTGTGAATGCTGGATAAATTGTCCAGAAGCCACAGTTCCAACAGCTGTCATCTTACCAGCTCCTAAGAGCCAAAAATTTTCAGCCATACCCTGATTTGGTAGGAAAGCTGCAGAAAAAACCCAAGAAGTGGCAGTGATGAGTTAGCGCTCTTCCTTCTGACAGTGGTGTCAGCATAGGGGTTATCCATTTATCACAGAACCTTGCTATGAGCTGTGATTACTAGGCATTTCACAGCCTTGAACATATGCTAGCCTGGATGACTGTAGCCAATGTATTCATAATCCCTCATGGTTTTGTTTTTTCCTTTCCACATATTTGTGTGTTACAGTTAGTTTATATATATTGTGCATTTGCTCCGAGAAAGCAAGTTTGCATCTACTCAAATGTCCTGGGAACAGTCAGGAAGTTTATCACATCCCATTTTTCATGCCCTTGACTCTCATTAATTGGTGTCATAATGATCATCTCATTCCCTGCAAATGGCTTCAGAATCGCCAAAATCTCTCCAGTGAGATCCATCTTTCAGATGGCACTTTCTGAGCTCTCCCTGTATAGTGATCAAGGAGATGGGTTTCTAGGAAGGTGTACTGACCATTCAGGAGGTGATGTTGTAAGAAGATGATTTTGCAAAGAACAGTCCTGTGCACTACTCCAAGGAGCACAGAAAATATATTTAAAAGAGTTTTTGCCCTCTCTTTAAAGATCTTTAGCTTATTTTCTCTTTGCTCTGAATGACATGAAATTGTCTCCTTAACCAGAGATGCGGGCTCAAACTTTTTGATTATGAGTGAGACCTTCTCCTATTTTCAAGTACTGGCATACTCCTGTCTCCTTAGTAGACATTGCTGACAAATGACATATTGTTGTATCAACTGTAGGTAAGCTTTATTAAAATGATTAAAAGCAGCTCAATTTCTAATGCAATTCTGCACTGTTTATGGCGTGGAAATGAGAATTCAAGCCTGTTAGAGGAGTCAGATTCTTTCATTGAAAATCATAAATCATTTCAGATAAGACATATTTAATAATTACTCATCTTCCTGTTATACAGCATCCCGAATTTGTTTCCATATTAAAAAAAAAAAAAAAAGTTCAAAAATTTTAAGAGATTTGAGAAAGCATATAAAGTTGAATCCTGTTCTTATGCAACATTTAAGCTCAATTTTATTGTCTTTATTTTCAGGAAATACAGTGAAAACCATCTGCAAGTAAAGTAGATATGTTTGGACATTTCCAACAATGATTGGAAGTTGAGGGTGTTTACAAATGTACATTGTTTAAAACAGCTACTGATTCAAATATGAATATTTTTTGTAAATTCTGAAATAACATATTTTCCTTCTTTCTTTTTAACAGGGGGTTCTGCTAATCTAACCTGCCGAGCTTTCTTTGGATATAGTGGAGATGTCAGTCCTTTAATCTACTGGATGAAAGGGGAGAAGTTTATTGAAGATTTGGATGATAGTCGAGTCTGGGAAAGTGATATCAGGTAAAAAAAATAAATTTATATATATATACATATATATAGTCTCTTAGTCAATATCTTTTTTGACAGTTAATGTAGTAATTACTATAGATTAATTCAGGAACATTTGGGGTTCGTTCCCTTTTTTACAATGTTCACTTAAATTTTTTCAATTTCATTTGTAGAGAATGGAAAAATATAGCAAGACCTGGTGCAAAGAGAGCTGCAAAAGCTCATTTAGTGTCATAAAGATTTTTCCAAACTGTGGAAAACTACCAAAACCAGTAGCACTAAGTTACTAAACATTACCATTAGTTACTGAAAAAAAAATAAAGAAAAGTAAATATACCAAGAAAAGTAGGTCAAAATAAGTATTTTAAAATTCAAGTTCTTAAATAAATGCTGAAGTCTGAATTCTCTTTCTGAATATTTTGACTTTTCTTCTTCAAAGAAAGAACTGAGTTTCCTGGGATGTTATTTGGCCTGTGAGATCTAAACCTCCTGTTATGTGGGCTGGTTATAGTTGCTGAAATATTTGTTATAGAAAGAATCTGGTGATTCACGTCATGTACTTTTCCTGTTTCTAAAAGTGTTATCTCATTTGGATACTGAGAAAAAAAATGGGTTTGTACAGTGAATAACATACTTGACATAGCTTCCCAACTCCAATATAATGTAATTACTTGGATCTAAAGAGATTCTGTTTTCATTTATAATTGTGTGTGTGCATATGACTGTGTTTGTACATCATGGATAAACACAGAAATGTTGGAAAATCTAATTGTGTACTATCAAGGAAGTTAAATAATCACAGGTGTATTATATTCACCAAAATTGTCTGTAATAGAACTATGAGCTTATTTTTACCTGAACTCATACATGAGAGTTTATTACTTCATGAAAAGACAAACATCACTTTCTTTTTCAGCTTTGGCCTGGACTACTTCTGTTTAAAGGAAGAAACTTCCTTTACCAAATTCAAGAAGGCCACATAGATGTTCAGGGTCTTTTGTTTTTGTATATTGAGATATATTTCATCAGTGTACGTCAATTTTATTCTATAAATTTCAAGATCAATGCACTAAATAGCACAAGACAACTAATTAGCTGCATTTCTTATGTAAAAATATTTATAAGCCTTTCAAGCAGATGTGGCATTTTGAAAGCTAACAAAAAAAGACAAAAAACCTCATTACCACTTTTTTCTTTTGTGGACTGAGGACCCAGCAGACTGGCTACCACATATTTTGTCAGGTGTGAAGTAAGGGAGAAGCGTGTAGAAGTTTCTCATTTGCTTTTCCAGGTTTCTAAAGCCGCTGTTAGGCTTGATAAGGGGGAAAGCAACAGGAAGACAAGTAGAAAGTTATGCTGGTCTTTGCTTTTCATTATTGTCTGTATGAATGAGTGGCATCTGGCATTCTAGCTTATTTTACTGACTTACTTACAATACTAAATTTTATAATACATTGAAGTAATATACTTTTCAGTATACAAACTGTGTGTTGGTCAAGACTACTAGCATCACTCTAAACCTGAAAATAACTGTATTCACTTTTTCTGTTCTAACATTTCAAAACTCTACAAACTACTGATCAGGGTCTCCATCAGAGTGTGCAATAATGTGTTATCAGTGTGTGCATCATCATGTTTAAATACAATTAACTGAAACTCTCATTAATATTTACAAAACTAAACCTCTTCATTAGAAGTGAATGAGAAAAAGGCATGATATAATTTAATTAGGATTTCATAAAACCATAGCTAAATTTGAAGCCTGAGAGCTAAGAATTGTAAGTAGCACTATTATGTCATTGTTATCTATTCCTATACTGTGACACAAGCAGAAGAGCAGACATTATTTTTTTTTATTAGGGTTCTCAAGGAACATCTTGGGGAACAGGAAGTTTCTATCTCATTGATTCTCAATTCTGTGGAGGAAGGAGACCTCGGCAATTACTCATGCTATGTTGAGAATGGAAACGGACGCCGGCACGCCAGTATTCTCCTACATAAAAGGGGTAAATATACATCTTCTTCCCATTAAATGATACATTGTAGGGGAAACTTGACTGTGTGTGTAAAACTTCCTTTTGACAAAAATGTTAATTTTGTTTTCCTGAGATATTAATAGGTAATGATTGTTTTCCCTAGGCATTCATATAACTTTCAAAATAAAACAGAAAGGTTGCTGTTAATTCAGGCTGTCACTAGCATAAACACAATAACACCTTTTAATTATATTTCTTTCACGGATGCATTTAATAATTCATGAACTTTAAAACTAATGAAGACTCAATAGAGAAAAAAAATAGTAGGAAGTTAAAGTTAATAAAACCAGAATCATTTTCTCTAAGAAATAAAATCCAATATTAACAAAAAAAAAAAGCCAGCGACAAATAAATTCTATTTCTATCAATGCAGACACATGATGGAATAATATACATAGCAATGTAGTCACCTCATAGAATCCCAGTGTGGTTGAGGTTGGAATGGGCCTCAGGTAACCTAACCCAACCCCTACCCAAGCAGAGTGCCCAGGGCTATGCCTAAGTGTCTTCTGAAGATCTCCAGGAAGCACAGCCTGCCTGGGCAGCCTGTGCCAGGGCTCTGTTACCTGCACAGTAAACTTTCTAAAGTTCAGACAGAGTGTCCTGCATTCCATTTTGAGCCAATTGCCTCTTGTCCTGTCTCTGGACACCACTGAGAAGAGTCTGGCTCTGTCCTCTTTGCACCTTCCCTATTAGGTATTTATACATATTGCTGGTTCCGCTAAGCCTCATGTCCTCCAGGCTGAACAGTCCCAGTCTTTCCTCACAGGAGGGATGCTCCAGAGAACCTTCGTCATTTCCCTGGCTCTTTGCAATGGATGCTCCAATATATCTCTTGTACTTTTGATCCTAGAACTGGAACAGTTTCACTGAGTAGAAAGGAAAGATCACTTTGCCCCACCTGTTGACAGTACTTTGTGTAATACAGTCAAGAACACAATTAGCTATCTTTGCTGCAAGGGCGCATTGCTACATCGTGTTCAACCTGGTGCCCATCAGTACCTCCAAATTATTTTTTCTTTAGATGTTTTTACACAAGGTGGCCCCCAGCTTGTACCAGTCCCCAGACTTGTTCCTCCAGTTTGCTGTCAACACATTTCTCCAGCCTCTCCTGCTCCCTCTGGATAGAAGCACAACCTTCTGACATATCAGTCACTCCTTCTAGTTTTTTGTCTTCTGCAAACTTACTGTGGAAACATTCTGTCCCCTTCACTTTTATCCTCAGAAAAGATGTCAAACAGGACTGGACCCAGTATTGACCCCTGTGGTATGCCACTAGTTACTGGTCTCTCACTAGACTTCGCACCAACTGACCCCTGTGCCTAGTCAGTTTTCAATCCACTTTGCTGTCTGCAGTCCAGCCTGTCAGAGTACCTAGTAGTCTGACTGTGGATCCTTTCCTTATAACATTTGCATAGCACCAGTGTTTCTGAAATGAAGACGGAAATACCTAAAGATCTTCCTAATTTTACTCACCGCTCACATTCCATGATGTCAGCCTGATGTCCACAAAGATCTTGTATGACGATAATTACAGAGAGGTGGAGGGTCTCTCACAAAGCAAGGTTCCTAGATTCTATTTCTTCACTTTACTTCCCATAAGGTGCTTCACATGCCTATGCTTGATGCATCACACTTCATCCTACTGGTTTAAGACAGCAAGGAGTGTCCATACTTTGCTTTCATTACCGTGGTTTTTTTAGGCTGTACAGGTAAGCACACTAGGTTCATACTATGGTACTGAAATACTTATGGCATCTCAATTTATATCACAGCAATGATGTCTTTACTTCTAACCCTGCAACATACAAAATCTGTCAGAGTTTAACAGGAAGCCAAAACCCACGATGGTGTGATTCGTTTGTTTAAGCAGATGGACTTTTCTGTACCCCCAGTGAACTGAAAAGAAATAATTCATGGCTATTTTTATGAACTTTTCTCAATGATTCTCAGGAGATGTGGGTGTAATTACTAGATGTTCCACTTAGATAGGCATTTGGCATATTTTCTCAGATGGACTGAAATGGAAAATTAACTTAAGTAATTGGAACTTTAAAGTATACCAGTTGGTGGCCACAGACACCTATTTCAGAGCAAAAATCTAAAAATAAATAAAACAGAAACCCACTCAGATCAAATGTGTTGTAACTTCTTTAATAGCAAAGTGATTACATGAAGTGCCGAAGACAGAATTTTAAGGCTTTAATTACTTTAAAACCAATAATTAACTAACTGACACGTATTAAGTCATTTGTTGATGTTTAGTTCCTATTTTCCCTTCCATACAAGCAATAACACCAAGAGTGACATGGCACATAAGCCATTTTTGTTATGTGACCGCCAGCTTTTAAATCTATCTAAATCTAAAGTGTGCATGCACAAATTTTGCAAGGGTCCTACTTTCCTTCATTCCCTTTTCAGAGAAATCAGTATGTGAAACTCATTACAGTATGTGGCCTCATAATGACATACTGAAGAGGAAGTAATCTCAATATTTAATTGCCCTTTTAAATAGCAAAATGTAAAAATAGCAAAAGCTCCTCAAAAAGATTAAGTAAGGCTAAATCTGAAATTGTGATTTAGAATCAAAATCTGTTGTGCCCATAAAAAACAAAAGACACCTGTTATAAGGCTTCAATATAATTTGTATGTTGACAACTGTTTTGGTGAAATGATAAATTAACCATCACAGACAGAAATGCAAGCTCGTCTCTCAGGTTTCCTCGGAAGAGGAGCTTTGTACTGCTTGCTTAGTCTCCTGCATATCACCATGACAACACTTTGTTTTAGGTTTCCTGTTTAGATCCACATTTAGTCTCTGCTAGGAATGAGTTAGCTTTTTATTAATTTCTGATTATTTACTCACATAGAACAATGGAGGCCTGAAATAAGGCAAACTGGCTTTCTAAACAGCAAGTTATTAGTTTTGCATGGTTTTCTAGTTATAGATCTTGCTTCTTTTTTTTTTTTTTTATTAAACCAGTGTAAGAAAACAGAAATGCTAAATCTCAAATGTTCACTATTTACCTGAAAAAATTTTATAGTCATTCATATATCATATGTGGCACATTATAACTCAGATCAATAGGAGTAAGAAAGCAGGAAGCTTTGTAACTGAACAAAGAGTGATCTTGTGAAAAGAGATATTTAAGGCTAAATTCTGCAGTGGGTACTCAGGTTCCAAATTTAAGCCTTTCAACTGCCTTTCTGCCTTTTATTTTGCCACAAATACAACTGTAAGGTCTTGCACCTGGGTGATGGCTGTACAAGTACCATCAGTATATGTTGGGAGATGTACAGGTAGAGCACAGCCCTACAGAAAAGGACCAGGGGGTGATGATGGATGGCAAGCTGAACATGAGCCAGCAAGTTGTCCTCACAGCCCAGAAAGCCAACCATATCCTGGTCTGCATCAAAAGAAGCACAGCCATTAGGTTGAGGGAGGTGATCCTGCCCCTCTACTCTGCACTGGTGAGGTCTCACTTGGAGTACTGCAGCCAGATGTAGAGTTCTCAGTGCAGGAGAGACACAGACTTGGTGGCCACAAATTGAACAAAGGGATGGAACAACTCTCCTATGAGGACAAGCTGAGAGAGCTGAGGCTGTTCAGCCCGGAGATGAGAAGGTCCTGAGGAGACCTGAAGCTGCTTTTCAGTATCTAAGGGGGGGCTGTAAGAAAGAAGGGGGCAGACTTGAGCAGAGTCTGTTGCAATAGCTCTGAGCAACATGATCTAGCTGTGGTATTCCTGTTCATTGCAGGGAAGTTGGACTGGATGGCTTTTAAGGGTCCCTTCCAACTCAAACAATTCTGTGATTCTGTACAACCTTGAAATTCCAGCTTGAGCTTTTGGATATGCCTACAATTACACATCCTGAAAGGGCAAGTGATTGAAAGTCTAAATCCCCGGGAACATCCTGCTTGAATCCTTCTTACCATTCATGCCAGTCAGTCCAACAGGGAGCCATTTACCTAACACACAAGCTCATGGTGTTCCCTTTACACACCAGCACCCAGAGCATGCAGTCAAGTGAGGGGGCTTCTACTTTCTCCCTGATTCAACCCTGGAATAAAAATTCTGAGCCTCTCATGTTCTAAGAGAAAGCTCATAGAGAGGTGCAGGAAAATCTACCCCAGGTTAGGAATCTGGCCCCAGAGGAGATCTGGGCTCTCTGAGCCCAGGTACTGGCACTCTGCATCTCCGGCTGTGTAACCCTGCTTTTCTCCTGATCTTCTATTACATTCTGACTGCCACAGGATAAAACCTATGATCAATGTTTTTGTGCAGCTGGCTAATCAGTTTTAGACACTGGACTTTCTTCAAATTCTGTGCATAGGGAGCATTTAACGTAGAGCCGGAGGAGAGGAAGCAGAGCATTTTAAGCGTAGTAATGTCAATAGAGAAGGACCAACACCCATGAGATCTAACTTTCATTCTCTTTCTGCAACTGCTGACCAAATTTCTTTCTATCAACTTTAAAGTAATCAAGTTATTTTCTGTTTTTTTGTGAGCAGAAAAATCCACTTATTGAGACCCAAAACTGATTTTATTACTTTGTGATGATAGCTATCATGGAGCATTTACAGGTCAATCTTCAACAAGGTAGAGAAAACTAGCAGAAATTAATTTTGAGAATAATACTGACAGCTTCTAAGTACAAATTTATTAATGACAGACCACATAGTGCAAGTGATGTAAGGACTGAATCATAGGTCTATGTCTCTCCTATAGTGAGGACTCCACCTCTGGAGTACTGTGGAGATGTGTAACCATTGCTGCAGGAGAAACATAGACCTGTTGGAGTGCATCCAGAGGGGGATCACACAAATAATCCAATGGATGGAGCACTTCTCATGAGACTGAGAGAACTGGGGCTGTTCAGCCTAGAGCAGAGAAGGCTCCAAGATGATATGGTAGTGGCCTTTCAGTATCTAAATGGAGGCTGCAAGAAAAAAAAAGGGGGACAGACTT